TAGCAAATTGTCTACAATTGATGAACTAATATATAGTTTATTTGACAGCCGATTGGTTTCCTGGAAGTGCCGATCGCTTACTGTCAGATAGAAGACGTGTATATCGTCTCCCGTTGGGACAGTAGTCAGAAGTTCTGCATCAGAATCGTCATCTCCGACGGATCGGTACTCCTTCAGGTCTGTGCCTCTCATTTCTTTCTCTTCACTACTTTTACATTTATATTACAGATTTTGTGATATTTTTATTGTGAATTAAAATTTTTATTAATATGTTATACACGCGGAGAATATACAGTATTCATTTTCTTTGTATACCCTGTGTTTCTATAGAAACTTTCATAATTGTGTCTCAATTCAGGGTTTGATCTCAAATAATATTTCTTGCTTTCTCTCCATTTTTGCATTTATGTAATAACACAATAAAAATCTCATTCAATACGCATGGCTTCAATACATGTCAAAATTGAATTTTCCAATCAATTGTTTAAGTCGTGTTAAGATTAAATAGTCTTTCCCTACAGGAGATCAACAGTTAGCACTAAAACTAAAATCTAATTACATAGAAATGGTTTTCACTTTTGGAAGCATTTAAATCACTTGATTTCTACTCTATCGCTCGGATTCCCAATAACCTAAATGTAGAAATAAATTTCACAAATAATAAATATACAGATAATCTGTGGCAATATTTTCCACATTTATGTTTTACTTGATTCCTATACCATAATTTAAAAATTCAAATTTAATCAATTAATTATATTTTTATAGGTTTATCAATTACACTTCATTTTATTGTCATAAATTCTTGACTAATAAAACTAATACAAACATTTAAAATCTTTATTAAGACTAAAGAGCTAGTTAATAGAGCTTACTACTGTAGTTGATGTTTAAATTAAATAACTTATTATACTGAATTTAAAAATAGCTTCTTACTCGTTTCAATAACTATTATTTCAAAATTTAATATAAATCGTCAATAATTCTTAGAAATATTTATATAAACCTATTCTGTAGTATCTCTTTAGTGAATAATATTATTCAGTATTTAGGATCTATTGAATGCAAAAATAAATACTTATTTTAATATCACATGATTTATATTCAAAATATACTGTGTAGTGAAAAAATAAATAAATATTCCTATTATTTGCAGAATAATTGCGGATTTATTTTTAGATAATTTTAACTATAATATTTTATTATATTGTGTGAATACAAACAAAACAAATTTTAAAATTGATAAAATATTCATACAAAATCTTTGATTGTAAAGCAAACTACAGCATGTGTATTAATTTTCAAATATTTAACTTTTCAAACAGTTGTCAAACAAGTGGTTACGCGACCAATGGCTCCATTCAATCAATTGGAAAGTAAGAATCGTTTTTAATTATTTTAAATTAGTTATTTATTAATGTTATAATTGATGATGTTCATGTTTTCCTATGAATAGAGGAGCATGTTCAAATTTCAACACATTCTCATCAACTCTTCCATTAGAAGTGATGTACTCTTAAAGGAACTAAAAGTGAGTTTTTTGTACTTTTTTGTGAGTTTTTGACTATAAATTGTAATCATTTTGACGAAAATAGAAATTTTAGTTTCAAATGCAATGTAAACATTTATACAAATGAGTAATTTTGACAAAACCATACATCTGTCTGTCTCTCAATTACTGTATACGATATTTAGGTCTAAAAATTGTAGAAAATAAGTTTCGTAATTGCTTTATAGGACCAGAATTTGTGTTAAAAACACCTATCAGCTACAATATGTATGATTTTAATAAAAACTTAATTATATAATGATTCTCTAAAAGTTACAATTGTTTTAATTTTTACATTTATCAATACAATTCTAGATATAAACAGTTTGTATTTTTACGTTAATAAGTTGTCTTCAAGTACTTTGCTACATTGTAATGTAATTATAATTATTTTCTAATAGTCTTATTCATGGTTTTATTTCACTATGTTATGAGCTATAATTTTACATTTAATCAACCAATTAATTTGCAAGTTTGAGCAAATTATACTAGAGCAAATAACTTCTAAACTTAGAATTAAAATATTTAATCTACCAACACTTAAGATTGTATGAATATCAAGATTTTTATGACCAGAAAGATTGAAAAATGACATTTAAAGTGATAATTATCAATAAATACAACATTTACGGGTTTTGCTTTGAATTACATATTTATTGATAAAAACTTTTAGTCAATACTTAACACTTATCTTTCTTTATGTTTCTTTATGTTAAAAATAAATGTTTTATTTGTTAAATATTTTATCACCATATACAAACTTTTGATAAGATAAATACAGTATTAGTATTATTTGGCGTTCAATTCATTAAACATAACTTTACAAAAGAATACAATTAAAAATATTGTCATAAATGATAAATTTATAATTTACTAACTATTGAATACTTATATAACTTATATAAGTATATATAAGATATGATGTTTTGATATTAATTGCAAATTCTCGGAATAAATAATGAATTTATTGTTTAACTTGCGATTAAATAATTTATATAAAATGTATACTATCATAATATAATATACTGTATACATAATATGAATGTTTGCACGAAGTTTTCATTTCGTTAATGTGTTATGAATTGAATCTAATTTTTCATTTAGGACTCAAAATTCCCAATACTTTAGCTATTATTGCAAATTATAATTAGTTTACATTTAAATACACAAATATTAGTGTTTTATACAAAATTATGATCATTACAAATAAAAAGATATGGTTTTTATTATAACATTCATATGGTTTTGCGCATAAATGCGAGCATTAAATAAATATATGTTTATTTTTAGCCTCAAAAATGACAATATTATCGATATATTGTATGTAAAATGTGTTTATGTTATATCTTTGTTTAACTTAAATACGATTAATGTTTACATTAGACTCAAACACTTAATTTTGTAACCAATTATAATAACGAGAAAAGAGTCAAATATTTGCTTCATTACTGATAACAACAACACTTTTGACACATTAAATGTATTACTTTTAAAATCACCAGAACTTTCAGTTAGAGATTTAATTGTCTCACTTTTGTCACATTATTATCAAACACTTACACACGTATTACACGCACAACACTTCAGATCCCAGTTTTTTCAATTTAAAATCCCATTTTCTCACTAATAAATACAAATTAACACAATTTTCATACAATATTATCATGCATTAAATCCAGGGATTGAATAGAAATACAATTAACTAATTTATGCAGATTGCACTTAAATATATAATATTAACTAACATTAAGTCCAGATTTTATAATATGAAGTTGAAAGTTGAAGTATGCTCTGTACCTTTAATAAGTAATATTAGATGAAAGGATATTTTAATTAATTATTTGAATAGTTTGGACAAAAATATTATTATTTATATGAAAAATAATAAATACTATTTGAAATGATTTTCAATTAAAAAATATTCTTAATGTAGTTTTATCATTAAAATGTTTGTATACTGTATTTAATATAACTATACTATTACTATTATTACTCATTAAAGATACAGATTATACAAATTAGTCTAATAATACTAGTAGGCATTTATTTAATAATTATTTATAAATATAATATTTTAATATAAATTTCTAATTCATTGATTTGCACAGAATTTGATTGACATGTCGTTAACGACTCCATTGCAAGACGAATGTATATTTCAAACTCCATTGGAGATCATAAGCAAACTTTTGGAATCCAGACTAAAAAATGTATGTTTTTCACCAGAAAACTACTAAATATAATGAGTGTTCAAATGTTTTCACACCAAATATTTCAGTCGACTAGAGAACAAACGCCTGAAAACGCTCGTTTATTATTTCACGACTTGCTTCTTTACTAACGTTAAGACAGTGGTGAAGACCTCTCTCGCTTAGGGTGAGTTCTTTAGACAGTTAAGAACTCAGTTCACTCACAAAAAGTCAACTCTGGTAAATCTCTAATTAAAATAATGCATTTATCTAAATAGCTTTTAATCATTGATTTATGTGTCGCATTTTATATCTTATTAATTTTTTAAATATTATTTTTATTGCAAAATCAGTGCTATAGAAATTGACAATTTAATGCTAAATCCTTTAATTATCTAAATTAATTTCAAAATATTATGAATTGGTATAAATTATGTATAAAATAATGGGATAATTATATTGTTTTTATATTATATTCTTCGTTTGCATGCAGTTTGTTGTGAATGAATTGCACTATTAAAACAAATTTAGTGACATTTAAAGAGTTGATTTTGACTAAAAGTCCTAAAATTATTGATTTAAATGACCGTTTTAGTATAGCGTATATTTTTAAGATTTTGTCATAAATGCGACCATAAATTACTTAAATATTAATTATTTAATAAATATTTAATAAAAATAATATAGATAATCATAAAACTTAGTATTTCTAATTTTTAGAGATCCGTTTTCATTATAATGACTTAATAAATGTATAATAAACACTGTTATGATACGGTCATTATAAAAATTGTTTAGTTCCTTACAATTATCAAATATAAAACATTAAAATACACTATCATATTATATTATACTAATTTTTCCAATTATGACAAATGCATACGGAATTTATTATTATACTACTGTACTAATTTAATAATATAAAATGGTGTATCAGTATTCTAATAATGTGATTCTACATTGAAATATAATATGTTATTTTAAATTTTGCATTTTATTGACAGCACTGTCGTCTAAACCCCCGTTCAATGGTTCAGGCGCTTATGATGTTACTTTATTGGGTTTCTTATAACTTTGTATTGTACCTAAAATCATTTATAGGGTTTTACGCTTAAGACCAAGTCCTGATACACAATCGAGAATTGAGAGTTTTGCTGCCGTCAAATCTTGTCAAGCAATTCATTAAATGGTATTTTTATAATTATTATTAACTCTATAATGAACATATTGTTTACAGATTTAGATTTGCATTGCGTAGATTAATATTTTTCTATCTTATACATCTTATACCGGTACTAGAAAATTATGACATTTAATGTATAAGGTTATTTAATATAAACAAAATATTCTTAGCACTTAGTTACTCGTTAATATTAGTATATTCAAAATCGTTTTTTTATAGTTTTGAATTTATTATACTTAAGATTATTGCTATTAAAAAGAATAAAAATTCTCCGGGATTTCAGATGAAATTGCAAAACAAATTAAAGATTAATTCATTTGGGATTAATTTGTTTGTGATATAAAAACATATTTCCAAGAATATTTTATATTTCAGACCCTTTTTAACTAACTTTGCAAATATTCTAAAAGTTTCTATTATTTTGTAAGATGTTTATTAATAGAACAAAATCATATAATTTTAATAAACGGGCTTAGTTATTATAATTTTAAAATATTATATAAATATTAACAAAACTTAAAACATGTTTTATTATGAAACTTATGAATAAGTTGTCTTTTATTGTGTTTCAGTGTTCACGGCCTGAGCAGCACATGTCCGCACCCGCGTGTCCTCTTAAACATCACATCCCTGTGTTTGGCCGCTCTCTCCACACTGTTTGAGGAGAGAAGGGCTGACTTGAACTCCGACATTGAGGCCAACATAACCGATAGGACCATCATTGAAGATGAATGGAAATCTAAATTAAATTGTTTTATTAATATATTATATTTTATGTAAGCTTCATTTCTATATATTTTATTTTTTATTGTGTTGATTCATATTGTGATTAATTAATTATTAATTATTCAAACATTTAGTTCATTACACGAAGACTGGAGACCAGGATTAGCACAAATCTTACAGCCGATTCCCTTTCCAGATACAGCACTAACTATTCCTGAGTTCACATCGTATGTAAACCTATTATTTTAATTTGATTTAAATAAATATTTATTCAATATAGAGATATAAATAGACGAAATTGTTTTATTTCACTGGTTTATAGATCTATCAAATCTGTGATAAGAAACATATGTTCAGACAATAGATGTGAAGTTCATCTCATGTTACTCGGCGTCAGAGAAGAGAAAGAGAATTGGCTCCAAATCTTCTGTCCCGGAAGTATTGCCTGCGATGACGAGGGAGACATTTGGAGCCTAATTGTATGCCCACTCATATGCCCTCATATATCTATACGTCCTATCATTTCATTTATACTTTCGCATCACATTCTCGAGTTCTTAGAATAGTTGACAACGACAGCAGCGTTTCCTAAAGACCCCTGAGATTGGTTCTCAAACCCGGGGACATACGACTCTCGGGACGCGCTGCTGCTATGGACAGTTGTCTAGGACACGCGCATGTTGGAGCTGAATGTGGTCGACAGCGTCGATATGCAGCAACAGATTATCACAACCCTTCAGAGCACACCAACAGGAAAATCACATTACTTTGATCTCTGCCAAAGACAACTACATCTTAAAGAATTGGTTTGAATTTATTTTATTTTATTTTATTAACCTTTACTAAAGAATTTAAATTAGCTATTCTGGACCTCTTTTAGATCTAAGCATTAGATATAGAATATTATAATTAATCGTAAATATTAGTATCGATCAATAATTCCTCGAAATAGAAAGTTATTTTTGTTTGCATTAATGCCTGGAATTATAAATTGTTTTTTTTGTAAAGAATCCTATTTCTCGACAGTTAGTAAACAGGATTCTCAGAAGTGGTTAATTACTTGTGTAAAGAGAATATATATATATATATATTCTGTACAGAATATTGTGTATATAAGGATATATTGTATTAATGAACAATGATTTGCATGATTAACAGCAACAGAAGGGTGGGCCCAGAAAGTTGACGCTTCCGTCGCGATCTACTGATGCGGACGTAACCTTTGACAACTCAACGCCTAGTAAGCCTTTGGACCTCACAGATAGTGATCGGAAATGAGTTCACTGGTCACGAACACGACTTGTCGATTAATTTAACGGAAGTGAATCTATAGAATTAGATACCAGTTCTCAGGTATTATTTTAGTTGATTATATTTTATTTGAAAACATTTCATTGTAACTTAAGTGAATTATTTATAAAATAATTTGCTAATATTTTCCATGAATTTGTGTCAAACAATAGTTTGGTGACAATGGTTTACAACTGATTTCCGAGCACTTACAGAGACTACAAGTGCTAAACCTATGCGAAACACCTGTCACTGACAAGGGATTAAAATATCTAACGGGTAAACAAAAGCGACTATATTATCACTAAACAAATGACATAATAATAAAGTGTATGTTTGCTTAATAGCGATGAAGAATCTCAGAAAATTGAATTTAAACAGTACTCGCCTCTCAACCCAAACTTTTGAACGTCTTAAGCAAAAACTACCGGCACTTCAAGAGATTGATATCAGATACACCGATGCCTGGTGATTGTGGGATAACACATAGCTTAGGCACTATTATCATCAAACATAACACTATATACACTGTATATTGCATAGATGGCAACGATCAAGAAATGAATATCAATGCACTCAACCATACCTTAAGCATCGCTGAATCAAACTCTTATTATCTATAAATTTTAATATCAATTTATATATAAATATTAATATATTATAAAATATATTAAATCTTAGTAAATATTTGTCTTGAATATATTAGTCACAGCTATTGTGCTGATGGGAAAGTAGGGCAGTTCAAGTGCCCAACCATTCATTTTTTATTATCTAATTAAATTCACTCATTGATATAGTAATCAATAATAATTGATATAATATTATATAACGACTGCACAGACCTTACGACTTGTTTGCAAACCATTTGTCGATTGCAAAGGCAACACATTTGATCGGTTGTAATGAATTTAATGTATTTAACAAAATATTCTCAATTTGTTGTATACTTAACAGACAAATGCAAACAAATTCTTTAAAACTAAAACCTTTATAACACAACACTTTATGCTAAACATTATATACAGTCAATGAATATATTCGCACGGCTTGTATAGCTTTGCAATAATTGTCTCAAAATTTATTTAATTTATTTTTTATATCTTTTCAAACATTTCTCGTTTCATTTATTTGTTGTTTTATTATATTATTATTACTATTATTCTGTTATTTATTTAGCAATTATTTGATAATCTAGTGATTTAAGGATCTTTTCAATTCATTTCAAACTAAATATGAAAATAATTTATTGAATAAATTCAAATATTAAATATTACTCTGGTCATTGTATTCATAATTTCTATTATTCTACATTGTATTTTTAATTAACAAGGTAATACAGTATTTTAGTCAGATTATTGCAACGAATTCACAGAATATTCCTATCATTGTTTACATATAGCCCTCTATTGCTCAGTATTACAACTATTTGTCATTTACATAACAAAAAGGGCACAACTCATCACTAATAACAGGCTTGTGATAAGCCGTTTGTATAGAACGTGTGACACGTGTGAGAAAAAGCCGCCAAAAGTTTGAAATGAAAACAAATGAAGTAATGATTGAATGATTGACTCATTGTTTGGTTTGTGTCTCAAAGTGTGTCCCAAAGTGTGTCCCAAAGTGTGTCCCAAAGTGTGTCCCAAAGTGTGTCCACAATGTCATCACTCGAGGAACCGTTGAATTGGTGTCAATTGATATCAATGATAGACACGACCCATGAGTTGAGCCAACGGGAGGTTGTGGTGGGAGTCATGGGATGTCTGTCGGGGTCGACGACTGTGTGCTTCGGTTGGAACCAATCGGACGAACACTTCTTCGTGAGGAAGGGCTTGAGTGGCGACCATCTGCTCAACCAAACACTTCTCTACAATTATCTCCACTATTACTGCAAATACGGAACCGCTTTCCGACGGATGTTTGACTTCTGCTATAATGATGTCAAAGACGAAGACCTCGTCCTCTGCTTTACATTCAACGCATTCCGCAGTTCTTTGCGATGTCTTCTCATCGATCACATCAAGCACTTGAACACCATTTCAGACCATTTGGTCGCCAATAATGCCCACAACAGAAGTGTCTCTCTATTGGGTCTCAAGTATTGGTTGGATTGCGACCAAAACCACAATCTTTTGCTGAGGATTGAGATCTTGTGGCAGATCTTCGAGCAGATCCGCGAAACCGCTTTAAACGAAAGCAATAACTATTCCCTCAGTTTTGCGATTCTGAACGCTGTTTACCACAGAATCGACTTCCAGAAGACCTCCATCAGGAATATTCTGTTCAAACTGTTCATCGATTGTCTTAAGCCGACACTCGATTACTTCGGTTATATTCTCACCAATGGTGTGGTCCGTGACTCGCATCAGGAGTTTGTGTTCACCGAGTCTGACGATGACATCTACTCAACCAACTTCTGGAACAATTGTCTTCAGGTTAGAAGTGATTTGTCACAAATACCTCACTTTTTGGCCAAACATTTAAACACAATATTGATTGCATCCAAGTCTCGACTCATGAGTCGAAGACTCACTTTTGCCACTAATATCCCATCCGATGATAAGTCAATCGATTTGTATAATAAGTTTATAACCGCTTTGAATGAATTGTTCAGAAAAAGTGATTTCTTAAGAGACAAAAACACTTCAAATGAGATACAAACTGCTGATACGAATGGGGAACCAGTGGATGAGTTTGAGATAATGCCCAAGTCTTTGGCAATGAATCCGTTGGAAATGACTGAATATGATTCGGATCTAAACTATTTCGATGTCTATTCCCTTCACAATCAGGTCTTCTATGACCACAACATATGCTTTGAATTGAATGACGGGAACAATGGTTTGGACACAGATTTGCCGCAAAAGTGCTTCAAAACGATTGAACTGATTGTGAACGAAGCGCTCACACAAACCATTTGTCACATCTGTTCCGCCATTTCATCGCAACTCATTCATGTGATTCTCAATGAATACAAGAATTACTTCCAAAATGTTTGTGACTTTTATTTGTTGCGCTCGAGTCGTGTGATTCCCACCTATTGTCTGGATTTGTTTCATAACATCAATGAAATGAATGCCTCGAAAGTCGACGGTTTGTATGTTTTGGAAAACGACACCACTTTTGAATCGGTGCCTAATATTAAGCCATTTGTGAGTTACGATAAGCTGACCACTGATTCGGTGCATATCTTTAAGAATATTCATCTCATTTATTCGCCAATCGAGTGGCCATTCAATGGTCTGTTCAATGACGAGGTGATGGGTGTCTTGAATCAAGTGTTTCAACTGTTGCTGAAAGTAAAGTACAGTAAATGGCTTTTGGATCAATTGATGTTTAGCCCACAGTTCAAGTCACCACTCGTCAAGAATCGCAACCAAAATATCATGAGATTTAAACTACAGATTAGTGTCAATAAGTTATACAACTATTTGATGACTAGAATCGATGTTCACATCAATGAAACCATCGACCGATTCACGCATTTAACTAATTTTGAAGATCTTCTGGAAATTCATAACCAATTTGTGCTTAAATTAAAGCAAACGATATTTGATAAGCAGACAACATTGCGAAATATTGTCAACAAATTGATTGAATTGTGTTCACAATTGGAGCGCATCTGGAGTTCTGACCACAAAGTGAATGAAGAGTCCGTACTTAAGGACATTGATTTAGACATCAATCGATGCAATCATTTACTCGAATGTTTCTATGAGGTGTTGAACCAAAACTCTTAAATCTTATTTCATTTAAGCCTTAATGTAATTGTTGTATATTTTGTGTAAAGTTTTTAAATAAAATGGATTTTATGAAACTAGCTGTAATTTAATTAACTGAAAACCTCACAATTAACACAAAATATCTAATTTACTGTCATTCAATATGCCGTAATATTATAGATAATAATGATTATTTATTACCAATAAAAGTACTGATAGCAATTATGTTCACAAAGTGTAATACTTGAGAAGTCTGTATAATAGAAGTTAATGACTGTTGTGACAAACCTTGAGATCAAGCCTTGAATTTAGTGAACTATAGATTAAGATTAGACTTGATTTAGGAAATCATACGAATTATATTTACATAATTAATACACGATAAAAAAAACAAGTGCAAAGTTTCTCATCCCACGTCAGTACAGTTATTAATGTACTATGATATATTTTATAATATGATTGACCCAGACTCAAACAACTGTCCCTTCGCCCATAGGTTTTTGATGACTATTCGCTATAATATACAATAACATTAATTCAAAACAAATTAATACATTAATAGTATAGGAACAAGGTGAATAAAAAACTTTCAGATAAGTATCGCTTAGATAAGAGTGATGCCAATAGATGCCAGTCATGAGAGCACAAACAAAGTGATCCCAGAATTGGTTACCATAACGACCATTGGCTATAAAATAAGGCATTTCTCGCCAAACTCTTTCTCTTTGAATCTTTCTCTCTATTGAATTGTTTTCAATACAACTCCAATAGACTGACTATAATAGCGATTATAATTACATAATAATTATAAGCTTTAATTCAAACTTTTTGATTTCAATAAAAGTTATTTCATTTATATAACTGTTAACAATGAACGGACAGAAACCCAACTATAAAATCGGTAAATTAAATGTTTTATTTCCTATGTTTTCGTTTGTTTTCATTTTGTCTCCAAAACTTTGACAATTAAAAAGTTTTTATAACTTATTTGTTTCGTAAACTAATTTATGTTATAATAAAATATATATCTAATATTTTTGTATGATCACTATAATACGACTAAATACTGACATTTAAATACCTAGGATAATTTTTTCGCGATTTAATTTGAGAAATATTAAATTTAATGCTAATATATATTTTACTGTTATCCTAGGGTAATTATGCATTTATGTAAAATACCTATTTATAGTCAATTTCCTTCAGTTTTAGTATTAATATATTGTCAATGAAAATGAATTATCACTTTTGAATACCAATGAAAAGTCATTATTTTTAAAAACTTATACTTGACTATGACTACAAAGTTTTGACAAACATTTTTCCTAAGTTTAAAAATAAATTATGAATTAATGAATGATTGAAAACTAATGACTCGTCTGTCGATTGAAATAAAGCGGACATCAGTTTGGCTGAGTTCGGGCGCAAAGAGATAGTAATGGCTGAGCACGAGATGCCGGGCCTTATGACGATCCGGAAGAAGTACGGCTCACAAAAGCCCCTAAAAGGCGCCCGAATTGCCGGTTGTCTGCATATGACTATCCAGACGGCTGTCCTTATCGAGACATTGACTGAATTGGGGGCAGAAGTGCAGTGGTCTTCGTGTAACATCTACTCAACCCAAGACCACGCGGCCGCTGCCATAGCAGTCACCGGCGTTCCCGTCTATGCCTGGAAGGGAGAGACCGAGGAGGAATACCTTTGGTGTATCCAACAGACACTGGTCTTCAGAGACGGACAACCGCTTAATATGATTCTCGACGATGGAGGAGATCTCACGAGTCAGTTGTCACTTCTGATGGCTTGAATCAAACGTTAAAAAACTTGATTTTATATGTCGTATAGATTTGGTTCACGAGAAATATCCGCAATACTTGTCAGGCATTCGCGGCGTGTCTGAAGAGACCACTACTGGTGTCCATAATCTGTACAAAATGCTGAAGAGCGGCCAATTGAAAGTTCCGGCCATTAATGTGAACGATTCGGTGACAAAGTCTAAGTTTGATAATCTTTACGGCTGTCGGGAATCACTGACTGATGGCATTAAGAGAGCCACTGATATAATGCTTGCGGGAAAGGTATGCGTTGTCGCGGGTTTTGGTGACGTCGGCAAAGGAAGTGCATCTTCGTTGAGGGCTTTTGGTGCGCGAGTTATTATCACTGAAATCGATCCAATCAATGCACTTCAAGCAGCGATGGAGGGCTACGAAGTGACGACATTGGAAGAGGCGGCGCCCATCGCCAGTGTCTTCGTTACCACCACTGGTTGTAAGGATATTATCCGCGGCGAACACTTCCTTCAAATGCCCGAAGACTCCATTGTCTGTAATATTGGACACTTTGACTGCGAGGTTGACGTCAAGTGGTTGGAGACCAACGCCAAGGAGAAGATTAATATAAAGCCACAGGTTTTGTGTACTTGTGTGACGTTTTTGTATCTTAATATCAATTGTGAAAACTTGTTGCACCGTTAGGTCGACCGCTACACTCTGGCCAATGGACGCCATATAATACTGTTGGCTGCGGGACGGCTGGTGAACCTGGGCTGCGCTACCGGTCACCCGAGCTTTGTTATGAGCTGCTCCTTCTCCAACCAGACATTAGCTCAAATTGAGTTGTGGACCAATCCCGGCAAATATCCACTCGGAGTCTATATTCTACCCAAAAAAGTATTCATTATTTGAATTGTATTTATTATTTTATGTTTACTTATAAATGTATTTTAATTCTGTTAACCAATAGTTGGACGAAGAGGTGGCAGCTCTCCATTTGCCACATTTGGGAGTCAAATTAACCAGGCTTACTACTGACCAGGCTGATTACTTGAGTCTCCCTCAGGACGGCCCCTACAAACCAGATCACTATCGGTACTAATCTCTTATGAATTGTCATCTTTAAAAATCTTGTTTGCGTTTTAATTTTTTCTAGTAATTGATTTTCTGAACAAATAAATGATTATTTTTATCAATCTGTAATGTACTGCACGCTAACACTTTATACGACATAAAGTTTTTCTTTAGATTTTATATTACAGTAGATTAAGATCTGATGTATGAATAGTATCATTTAATTAGTTATATAACAGTAATAACAATTTTAATAAAATTTACATATTCTGTGTACCGTAATTAATTACTTTATTGACAATCGAAACTTTGTGGTTAATATGATTGTAATTCTCAGAACACTACTCAATACTATTATAGGGTCTACATGAAATTAATAATAGTATTAGTAAATAAAATAAACAGTAAAATTAGACACAAACAATATTTTCACCAAGCATATTTGAGTCTTATAATATCTTGTATTAGAATTCATGGATTACTTATGTTAATACAGTATTAAATTTAATAATAGTCACATTCTTATCAGTGATAAGTTATCGTTAAATTAATAACTTATAATAAGAATGTATCTCAAACTGGATGTTCAGTCCACTCTGTATTCCATCGAGTGTTAAGTCTATTAAAAGTTTACTTTTAATTTATTATTTGCAAAGACCTTAAAAATAATCAAATCAGAGGTAAGATATTGTATGTTAAAAATTATTAGAGTAATTAAAATCTGTTATAATTTATCATAACTGAAGTGAATTATAATCATCGTCAGTAAATTAATTATTATAAAACATAATTTTTATAAGTTTTTTAATTTATGAAAAATATGGGCTATAGTCGAGGCCTTGAATTGTGAAACTAGTTTTTGAAATATTTGCAACAAATTAATTACAAGTCTTAAAAAATCTCTCATCTTAAAAATCAAAATCTATTTATAGTATAAATTTTATACTTTTGTTGACCAAAGAAATGCCTGAAATTGATTTCAACACAATGAATGGGAACACAAATCCAATGACTGAATGTAATGGTATGCATGTGTTGGTGACTGGAGGCGCCGGATATATAGGTTCTTCATTAGTGCCGCTTCTTCTGGAGGAGGGATACAAAGTCACAGTTTTCGATCGCTTCGATTTCGGCATTACACCGCTTCTGCCATTCATTTCAAACCCAAATCTAAATCTTATTAAAAGTGATATCAGAATCAAGAGTGAAATCTCTTCCGTGGTTAATACCGTCGATGCTGTCATTCATTTGGCAGCGATTGTCGGATACCCGGCCTGTGAGAAGAATCCGGAACTGGCGGTCAAAGTGAACGAAACTGGGACTCAAAATCTCGTGGAAGCGCTTCGACCGCATCAGAGGATAGTGTTTGCGTCGACCGGTTCTTGTTATGGCGCTATCGATGGCATCTGTACTGAAGAGACACCGATATCTCCGCTCACACTCTATGGTAAAACTAAAGCCAAAGCCGAGACACTGGTCTTAAACAGCAATGGAGTTGTGCTAAGACTGGCCACACTGTTCGGTGTGTCCTCACGAATGCGTTTGGATCTACTTATCAATGACTTGACTCACAGCGCGCTCATCCATAAGAAGATAATACTTTTTGAGCCACACTTTAAGCGAACTTTTCTTCACGTCAGAGACGCCGCCAAAGCCTTCCTCTTTAGTCTTCAAAACTACGATCAAATGCAAGGAAATGTCTTTAATGTCGGCGACGAGACCATGAATATGAGTAAAGCCGAGGCGGCCCTTACTATCGCAGACTTCGTTCCCGAGTGTGTCATCCAATTGTCGGAAACGGGTGAAGACAAAGACAAACGCGATTATGTGGTCTCCTATGAGAAGATCGCCAAACATGGCTTCAAATCACAGCTTTCTCTGAGACAAGGCATCCAAGAACTCGTCAAAACATTGCCTCAAATGTCAAACTTTGAAATTCAAATCTCCAAAAATATCTGATATTTGTATCGATTCTCATAAACTTTTAAAACATTTGATTCAATTTTGTTTTCAATTTCTAACCGATGCTATAATACTGTAACAATTAATGACATTTAATTTTTAACATACTTTTTAGTTAATCAAATTATAATCAATTTATGTTTTAATTTTACTAATTTATGAACAATTAAAATCATATCTGATTAAAACTTGTGTAGTTCATGGTTAAGCTCCCGTTCCCATTGAAATGCATGCGTGAAGTGAATCAATGTATGGCTCACAGAGTGTTTGAAATAAGCGCTGAACACAGCGTTTGCAGCGATTTGTGGCTTCAGTGCAATCATTTGGCAACTGATCGCTCGTTTGACTCCTTTTGAGACCTCTTTTGTTGAATCAATCGTCAGATTAAACGCCGAAGAAGTGATGACACAAACGACCGACACTTCAGCCCAATCGCCGAAAAGCCCGAAATCACCGGAAAGTGAGAAAAGCAAACGATATGACCGACAATTGCGGTACTGATCCACACTTTGATTGCTTAAGACTTTTGTCTTATTAATTGAATACTCATTGAAATGTCATTTCTTGTGGTAATAGTCTTTGGGGTGATTGCGGACAAACGGCTTTGGAGTCATCGCATGTGTGTCTCATTAACGCCACTTCATTGGGCACAGAGATCCTCAAGAGTTTAGTACTTCCCGGCATTCGTGCGCTCACTATCATCGACAACAAAGTGGTCACTGAGGAGGACATCGGAAACAACTTCTTCCTATTGAGCGAAGACTCTGTCGGCAAAAATAGGGCCAAAATAGCGGCACAACTGTTGTCTGAATTGAACGATGACCTCAAGAAAGCCGATCATTTGGATGAGTCGTTGGAATCAATACTTGAATCCAATCCCAACTTCTTCTCCAACTTCTCTGTTGTGATCGCAACGGATGTTAATAACGATAAGTCATTGAACCGATTGAGTCAAGTCTTGTGGCAAAACAATGTTCCTCTCATTGTCTGCAAATCGATTGGTTTTGTCGGTTATATTCGGCTTCAGATCAAAGAGCAGACGATCATTGAATCACATCCGGAGAATGTCTTCGAAGACTTAAGACTCGACGAACCGTTTGATGAGTTGAAGCTATACTTAGACTCCTATGAGAAGTTTGAGGACATGTCTCGCAAAGAGTTATCTCACACACCATTTCTGGTCATTCTTCACAAATATCTCCTCAAATGGAGGCAACACTTGAATCGCAGCGCAAAAGAATTGCCCAAAACTTTTAAGGAGAAGAACGAACTGAAGAAATTGATTCGCGAAGACATGGATGCGCTGAGAGAGCATCTGAAGAGTAAGTCAGATGAGGAGGAATCCAAAGAACTCGATCTCGAGAACTTCGAAGAGGCCATGAAAGCCGTGAACACCGTATTAATCGCTTCCGATTACATTCCGTCCGAAATTCAGTCACTTCTGAACGACTCGAGAGTGACGTCCAGTGAATCCAATGACACGTCGTTCTGGCTGTTAGTCAAAGCACTCAAACAATTTGTCGATCAAAATTTTACAGACGGAGACTCCCCTTGGTAAGGCCTGTACTGGAGGCTCAGCTGATTTATATATCTTAACGTTGCTTAAATAGCGAGCTTTCGGCGGCTTCTGCGGCTTTCACAAATGTTATAGAATGTCTCACTCCCTCGGGCACACACTCTGACGGTCACCGAAAGTGAAGTGAATCTCTTCTGCAAAAACACTCACTATTTGCGAGTCATCCGCACCTCAGGTATAGACACCGAACTCAGTGGCCATCGATTGAAACAAATCGCGAATACTATCGGAATCGCTGACGACGACACCGAAGACGACGAACTCCGGTATTATCTGCTCATGAGATTAGTCGACAAATTCTACTCATTTCACAACCGATTCCCCGGTGAACGCAATGATGAGGTCGAGAGCGACGTCTCTGTGCTTAAGGTTTGTCTTCAATTGAGTATTGAATTCAATCTAATGAATGATTTCAATGTTTCAGACGTATCTCAAAGAGATTTCTAGTGATTTTGGATCTAATTCTGTAGTGAAGGACGACTTGATCCATGAAATGTAAGTTTATTACTCTATAGTTAAGGATTTTGACTTAACTCAATACTAACCAAATACCGTAATCAACAGCAATGCCGCCGAGAGTTAACGTAAGTTAGAGACGTAAGTAGCGGCCAACACGGCGTGTTCTTCACTAGTTTTAGGAGTGGAGTGTCATCACTCCCATTGATAACACGTTTGTCTACAATGGCATGACTTCTGTGTCCAAGACTTACAAACTTTAAATGTAATCCTCTGTCGGACAATATTGATATAATTACATAAATTTGCAATTAATTAAAAACTTGCGTGATATTTCTATAATATTTGAATTAAGACTAATTGTAGTATTAAGTTAAATAATAATTAAATTAAAATTGATAAAGTTGATAAAAAATCATTAATTTATGACTCTTTTCAAACGATTATTTGAATTAAGTTATGAAAAAGTGACGTAAATATTGCATTGAATGGTAAGCATTGCGTCAGTGAATGAGTGCTACAAAGAGTAAACAAACAGCGCTTTCATTGACAACAAGACATCATTGGATGCATTGTTTCGGAAATGCAATCATTTATTGTCCATAAAAATCACTTCAATTTGCTGCAAATCCATCAGTTGTTGAGACACTCGTTGGCGGTGTCCACACAAGCGCCACAAAAGCGATGTCTTCACAATCACCTAAGGATCAGTTCATGGGGTGATTGGTTGCGATCAAAGAGTGGCCGCAAACTTGTGGCCGAATGTCGAGCTATTGGGCGAACTCTGGCCAACGCCAGGCTATCGGTGCCCATCACTAAGACATGGTTTGCAGATCCGATGCTACTGTCCAATGATAACCACAACAAGAGTTCAAACAACAAACCAAACGGTAATAAAAAGTCGGAAACGAATCGCAATTACGATAACGAAGACCAGGAGGAAGACAACGATGAGCCCAAGTCCTCACTCATCGCCAAAGCTGTCGTTTGGATGTTATCCGGGTTTGCATTCATTGAAACACTTCTTGAGATCACTATCAAGTGATTCTCGTCACGAATTACTTACTGATGTGTGTTGTATTGATGACCAGATATATGGTGATCACGATTATGTCACTCCTGTTCCCCAACTCAAACACTCCGGATGTGTTGAGATATGTCTCATGGAATGAGTTTCTGCACCAAATGCTGGCCAAAGGAGAGGTGGAACAGCTGTTAGTGCGCCCGGAGCTCGATTTGGTGACCATTTATCTACACGACGGCGCTATCATTAAAGGCAATCGCGCCGACCATAAGACATATCACATGAATATAGTAAACGTGGCGTCGTTTGAGAAGCGTCTTCGGGATGCCGAGAGATACCTATCCATCAAACCAGACAAAGCGGTTCCCGTTGTGTACGAACGCAATCAGGAGAGCACTTGGCTTTTGTTGGTCTCATTGGTAACGTGGCGTCGTTTGAGAAGCGTCTTCGGGATGCCGAGAGATACCTATCCATCAAACCAGACAAAGCGGTTCCCGTTGTGTACGAACGCAATCAGGAGAGCACTTGGCTTTTGTTGGTCTCATTGGTGGCCGTCTCGCTTATGATACTAATTATGTTCAGATCCGGACAAATCAAAACTCCCGTTAATGTGGACTTCTTCGTGAGTTATTGTCATGAGTGTGAATACTCTTTGTATTGATTGGTGTATCCAATGGTGTGATAGTCGCAAATGGGTCGCGCGAAGTACACAATGGTTGACCCGTTGACGGGCGGAGGGAAAGGCGTGCGATTCAAAGACGTGGCCGGACTTAAGGAGGCGAAAGTGGAAATCATGGAGTTTGTTGACTATCTTAAGGCTCCGGAAAGGTTTCGGGTATTACTTGCTATTAGAGTGAAGTTATTCATCGATTTTTATTCATAACTTCTGTTTAATTATTGCAGGCATTAGGAGCTAAGGTTCCTCGAGGGGTACTACTGCTGGGACCGCCCGGTTGTGGCAAAACAATGTTAGCTAAAGCAGTGGCCACAGAGGCGAGTGTGCCTTTCCTAGCGATGGCCGGATCCGAGTTTATTGAGATGATTGGGGGGTTAGGGGCGGCGCGAGTCCGGGATCTGTTCAAAGAAGCCCGTAAGCGGTCGCCATGTATTGTATACATCGATGAGATCGACGCCATCGGCAGGAAGAGGAGCACCGCTAGTATTCAAGGCGTAAGCGGTGAAGAGGAACAGACATTAAACCAGTTGTTGGTTGAAATGGACGGAATGGGACAGAGAGAGGGTGTCATTATGTTGGCCTCGACTAATAGGGCAGACATTTTAGATAAGGCTTTGTTAAGGCCGGGAAGGTTTGACAGACATATACTCATTGATTACCCAACACTTGATGAAAGGAAAGACATTTTTCGTCAGCACTTGAAAGCCATTAAATTAGAGCTCAATCCAAATGAATACGCCTTACGTTTGGCTCAATTGACTCCCGGCTTCACCGGCGCTGACATCGCAAATGTCGTGAACGAGGCGGCACTACATGCGGCCCGAGAGGCCAAACAGATAGTCAAAGCCGAGGATCTGGAGTATGCGGTGGAAAGGGTTGTCGGCGGCACTGAAAAGCGCAGTCAAGTGATGAGCACTCAGGAGAAGAAGTTGATTGCGTTTCATGAATGCGGTCACGCGTTGGTCGGGTGGCTCTTACCACATACCGACGCTCTCCTCAAAGTATCGATAGTCCCGCGAACTAATAACGTGTTGGGATTCTCACGAGTCCTGCCCTCAGACCAGAAGCTCTACACAACGGAACAGCTGTTCGATCGGATGTGTATGGCTTTGGGCGGAAGAGTCGCCGAATCGTTGGTCTTCAATAGAGTCACTTCTGGCGCACAAAACGATTTGGAAAGAGTGACAAAAATGGCGTATTCTATGATTCAAAGCTATGGCATGGATTCCGTCGTCGGTCCCATCAGTTACCCGACCACTGATGAGATGAAGAATGAGTCGGGAGTTGTGAGCAGAAAGCCGTTCAGCAAACAGTTGGCCAATACTATAGACTTGAGGGCCCGACAGCTTGTGGCCAATGCTTACAAAGAAACAGAACTTCTTTTGACTAATAATTCAGAAAAACTTAATTTATTGGCCGAAACTCTCCTTCACAGAGAAGTATTGAATTATTCAGACATCGTATCACTTATAGGTCCGCCGCCTTATGGAGACAAAAAACTGGTGGAGTTCTTGGATTTAGGACCCATTGTGGAGACTAAGAGCACATCCAATGGAGACACTAATAAAAATGATAAAGAATCAAATAATTCTGAAAATAATTTTAATAAATAAACTTTTTTCTATACAAAAATACTTGACTGTAATTTAACGTAAAGTCAATATTCTTTGATTAAAAAGTATTGTATAATAATAATAATAAAAGTATAATAATTTATTAGTTCTATATTATAGTATTTTAAATTAATAAACATTAAAAATAGATTTATATGACATAAATGTTAAACAATGTGTAATTAATAAGAACGTAAAACTATAGGTGTTTTGAATTGTTTTCATTGATTGCCATAATTTGGCCGCAATTATAGTGAATGGAAATAACGTATGAAATATAGAAATAAATCATTGATTAAAATAATTTTTACGGTATATTAAAATGGTTTCACGGGATAAACTACAACTTTGAAAACAATCATATATTCTGTGTTTAGGAATTAATTGAAACAATTAATATGAAAAATAAATAATTAATTAAAGGGATGCCAACCATAAAAGATAAATCTTACAACAAATAAATTTAATTTATTGAATGTATTTATTTGTAATTTAATTACTAGTCATTCAATTAACAGAAGCTTTTGAGTGAATAAGCATTTTGACGGCACTTTTAGTTATGAAAGACTTATTATTACTACTTTTTTCCCATAACGAGTCAAACGACTACTCAATACAGCATAGAATTTATGTGTAAAATGCTATGAATTCTTAAACAGATTTAATATTTAAGTTTTTGTATAAATCATACGAATTGTTGACATTTATATTCGTTTCGATTCACAACCGATTTGTAATCCAATTAGTCTGACAATTGGAGTATAAGAGTCATTTGACAAGTGACATTTGTTACCCAAGTTATCGAAATTAATACTTTTGTTGTTATATTTAATATTAATAAATATATTAAGTCATGCCTACCGACGCTGTTTGGGTTATTATAACCATTCCCCGCAAGGACTACGAGAGGGAACTCAAGAAAATAAATATACAAAACTCCAAGAATAATAACAATCTTAACATTTCTAGTAAGAAATCAAACTTTTTATTTTTGTTTTATTAACTAATTAGAAGTGTTTGAAATCTTTATTAAGTTTGTTTAAACTTTTATTTTTAATTAAAATAAACTATTTGCTATGAAATTGACATTATAATTATTTTAAAGTCATTATCACATTAAAATTTTTAATATTAACTTACTAGTACATTTGGTGAGAAGTTTGAGCATAAAGAATACTATCAAGCTTAATTTTTATGGTTTTTTAAAAATTGAAATTAAGTGTTATTTTCTTTTTTGATTTTATTTATTTAATGATTTGCATTATTTTATACATGGATGTTTTAAAAGTATAAAATATTGTGTATTGCTTAAGTATACAGTATTATCTTGCTACTGTTGCTACCTGTAAGTTTCATCATGATAATAATTTCTATAATATTTAATTACCAATGGAAGTTACTAGTACAATTTTACATTCGACTATTAGATGATTTTTTATTAATTGAAGATTTATTGAATAAATATGAAAATGAGAGGGATATTTTAATGGCCTATAATTTAACTCTAACCCTAAAATCTAAGCTTTTATGATAACTATATTAGCATTAATTAAAGTGATGGCCATTTAACACTACAAAACAACTAGAACAAATTAAATTATTCAATGCTAAAAAGTTCTGAACTGAAACAATTTTTTCATTATCACTTTTGTAGTTGCCAATCACATTAAGAAATTAAATTTAAATATATTAATGAAAATGTTTACTATCTTTTGAATACGAATTTAATAAGATTTTTTCAATAAAATATGTTATCATTGCTTTTATATTCTAAATTAATTAGTGTTTACTATTAATTATTCTCCAATAAATTAATATTATTTATATAATGTACCGGTATTAGTATGAGATTTGCAAAATTATTATGAAATATTTCCGAATAATCCAATGAATACAAAATGTTTACCGATAATTATATTTTTATAACCCTAGATGAGTATAAATCTCACAAATTCTTGATAATTATTACTCAACACAAATTATTTTATAACAAAATTAATCATGATAGTGAAAATATTAATAATTTAAGAATATTTTCAAAAAATACTCTTAACAATATTTAAAATCATTATTAATAATTTGTTTGAATTTTAGACGATTTAATAGATTCAGTGAAAAAAAAGAATGACCTGGATAGCAATATGGAAAAGGTTTGCAAATATTAATTATAATAACACTAGAAATGAGATTGACATGAATATTGAATGAAAAGATCTTATCGGACGCATTGGAAGAGTTGCAGATTGAAGACGTGGTTTGGGTGCCCACGAAGAATGGAAACTTCTTTCAAGTCTACTTTCCCTGCGATTTGTATGAAAACGATGCTATCATGAGATTCCTTCAGTCCAAAGGAATCGGCACTAAATCCGAGACATCTATCGGTTACATACCTTTCAATCTATTCTTTTACGAAGAATTCAGTGACACTGAAGACGAGGACACGTGTGACGATAATTATGATCATTCGTAATAAATAAATAATTTGCTTGAATTTATATTTTTATTAAAATCGCAAATCACTTCTCAATTGCTTTACATTATAGACTTCCGGAAGAGACGAATAATAATAAATTTAATTTACATAAAAAGCCGATAAATAGTTTCAAAGAAGTGACGCAAAACTTCCTCAAATCAGTCACTTCGAGGCTAACTGTGGCTCAAGTGGTCGAAGGCGTTAAATCGGGATCTGAAGTGACTTTTGATTTCTGTGCCTATACTATATTTTCCGGTTTTATCGCAGCCTTTGGTCTCATAAACAATGATCCGGTTAACATCGCCGCCTCCATGATGATTGAACCCATTATGGTTTGCTTTGAAATTATATAACATTCTAATAACTTAATTAACAACTTATATAATATTAATAATGAATACTTCTTTAAATTTTTTGGTCAAAAGGGAACAGTAATGGCAATGACTTTTGGTTTAGTAATAGAGGACAGGAAACTGTTTATGTTAGGCGTCAAAAGTAATATCATTTCCTTAATTCTTTGTCTCGTAAGTGGTTTCGCAATGGGATTAATAATCTTCATTTGGATGACGGAATGGAATCCCCCACCCGATGGTAGGCCATCCAAAACCCATTGGGTTTTCAATACAAACTAAACTATATTTCCTATAATAAGGCATTTGGCCGACGGGTGAGATGCAGGGAAGGGGTACTTATAAGGGACTCATTTACGGTGTGATGATTGCTCTTCCATGCGGTGGTGCTATTGCTGTCACATTGCTTAATGACAATCAGGCAGCACTGGTAGGTGTAGCGGTTGCCTCCACATTTTTGCCTCCATTCATCAACACTGGTCTTCTGTGGGCTCTGACCACTCATTTGCAAATCAAAGGCAATAGACAGCCAACACTTCCCTATAATATTAGCGGTCAAATAGTTTACACGAAGTTGGCGTACGTCCCACAGACAGGGTATACACCCGTCTATTCACATGACATGCGAATAGAGAATACACTATTGGGTTGTGTGAGTATGGCTTTGACTGCTCTCAACATTATTTGTATGTTAGTCGTGGCATATATTGTACTCAAGGTATTGATTGATATTTGTTTAGGATTTAGATTTTTACTAATTTTGAGTTTGTTTGTCAAAACAGATCAAAGAGATCGTGCCGTTAGACAAGATGGCTCCGGGAACTCAACGATTCTTCAAACATGATATGAGAGTTGGTTCAGAATATTCTTATGATTCTTATGAGAATTCTTATATTCTTATAATTCATTTATTTATTGTGACATAATTGCATAAACAGATCGCCCGTAAATACAATAGGAAATCAATGGCTGTCGGAAAAGATGACCCAATCGGCCAACAAATTCTCGAGGAATGGGCAGTAAGTTAGCGCTTATGACCACAAGTATGTCCTATAATTAATTAATTAATGATTGTTTGATACGAAAGGAAATCTCAGGTCTCGATAAGAATCAAATGATGAATGAAACTCCAGAAGCGAGAGAAACTCGATTGCAGACACTCTATGATATTGTATGCATTTTTCAGATTTAATTAGTTTTAATTAATAATTCATAAAATAATTAATTTCTTGAACAATAGGCTCAAGACGTCGAATCAGACGAGACATTCCAGACTGTTATGAGTAAAGCCGTTGGAAATCCAAATCAGGCATAGATTTCATTTGGATTATGATTTGATAATATTTTCATTTTCATTGTCTGTTTTGAATGATAGTTTGGTTTGGGAAGACGTTTGACACAATCGGTTCTGTTTGAAGGAATGGGTCCGAGGAATAGTGTGGCGAACACACCGTTTCAAGTGTTGACTGTAGGACAGGAGGCACCAAAAGCGCACACTACTGGTCGACGCTTTACTATTAATCCGTTGCACAAACCGAGGGCCAGTCGCGCCAATGTCTTGGAACGACTCAATGACAGTTCCCCGTACTCCACATCGGGATCGGGTGTCCCCGCAAACGAGGAGGAAAGGCGTCGTAGCAGTAATTTATTGCGAAGATCTCTTAGGAAATCTAGTCATTTGCCATACAGTGTTTGGCCAACCAGTCAGCCCAACAATAGATCTAATTCTGTTGTCAATGAACTGGGAGTCCGGAGACGAACCATATATGCGCCCAAATTAGAGCCGCACTCAGAATCCACTGGTTTTTAATCTCAAAGTGTTTCATATTTAATAAATCGTTTGTTTTTCAATATTTAATTTCGTTAATAAATTTTTTTTAAATGATAATGTAGATTTGTTGGATTGGTATAAACAATTTGTTATTTTTAATAAATATTACGGTAATAAAATATTTATATAATTATTAGATTTTTATTAGCATAATATCACAATAATTATAATTATTTTTGATAATTATAAGCTTATAGCATAAATCTTTAAGATACAAAGTTTGCAACTTTACAATAAAGTAAATGAAGTTAGTTTTAGCATTTCATTGTATAAGATTTTATTTTATACCTTCTATAGGATAATGGATAACTATACTAAATTGCCATCAATATCAATATAATAATATTTTAATTAATTACAATTTCTAAAATTAATTTAAAATTATAAACAGTATATGACAACAAATATATTTGTTATAAATAATCAATTTGAATAAAAATTATAGATTAAAAATTGTGATACTTTTATTAAATATAACTATAATTTATACAATTCAACAAATTAAATAATTCTAGGAATTATAAATAAATAATGATTGAATTTTGAAAATAAATATGATCGATAACTTATAACTATTGATTTTTATTAAGCTCGCTGTCATCCATAATGTGATCTTTTAAAGGGTTTAAACGTTTTCTCTCATTAATGACTAAATATTTTTCAAACGAAAATATAAGAAAAGTGATGACAAGTGTTGTAACGACACAAACGATGAATACAATCAACGGAACCGTCAAACTCTCGGTACTTGTAATCGATGTCGTGTTCACTACTTAGTCATATGATATAATACAATATATAAGACACGATTAATATTTCATAAATAATACACAAACCGTTTGATTGATTTTTCAAATCCATTGATAATACAAATCAAATTATTATTTTGTCGGAAAATATCAACAATTTAATTATAGTCGTTATATTACAATACAATAAAAAGTAACATTTACCAGTAGCAGAATTATTAAGTAAATGTTATTTTATAAAATTTATATTATAAATGCATAAATTTTAAATAAAATAGCAAATTGTAATAATTAAGTATTTTTTATTGAGCGAGAATTAATCATTACATGAACTTAATGAATTTATATTTTATAATCTACTATTTATTTATTCATGAAATGTAAATCCATAATTGCATGTTTTTATATTGTGAGATTCAAATATCAATTGCATGATAATATTCTTGTAAGTTGTAATAATATTTTCTATTCAGTTAATGCATTAAAAGAGTTAATTATTTGCATTTAATTGTAATAATGGAAATTTTAATCAAATATTGAGTTCATGTTTGAATATTTTGGTTGATCTCATATTACAAATCGTGTGATTGTCTAATTGCAATGAAAGCTCTTTGGCCGACTGTTAAGCTTAACACCGTATGTGTTGTACATTTGACGCCAATCTTGAGTTTCATTTAAATTTTAAATGCAACAGAATTATAAGAATTGAAAAAATATCCATAAATTTATGAGTTCATTAGAGAAATACGATTCAAATCAAACACTTGAGTGGAAATAATAGAAATAATTAGCATATATTGGAGTTAATCACTTGTGTCTGATATCCCTTAGGGTCCAATTTGTTGCTCTATTGCTCTGACTATTAGTACTTTTCAATAAGTAGTG